ACACGCAGGGAGACAAGCACCCCGGCGCGGGCACGGTCCCTGCCGGTCCCCCCTGCACAGCCTGACCCTGTCCGCGCGCAGGGAAGGGGCTGAGCAGAGCAGGGACCAGGCGCTGGCACCGGGCGCAGTGTCCGTGCTCTCCCCAGGGCGGCTCTTCGGGGTTTGCTGCACGCTGCCTGCGTCGGGCTCGCCTGTGGCAGTGCCCCGAGGAGCCGCCCCTCGCCTGCCCTCTCAGGAGCGGAGCTGCGAGGGAGCCAGTGCGGCCGGGAGCGTTTCCCAGTGCGGAGAAGGTTCCGTCGCCAAGAGGGTTTCCCATCGGTGAGAGGTTTCCCACCGCCGGCAGTTCCCATCCCATTGCTGGGATGTTCCCCATCGCCAGGAGGTCCTGGCAGCAGGAGCTTTCCCCTTGCTGGGAGGTTTCCCATCGCTGGGACGTTTCCCATCATCAGCAGGGTTGCCTGTGTCCGGGTTTCCCAGCCCGCTTCCATGGAGGGGAGGTGCGGTGGGTGCAGAGCAGCAGCGGCCGCCCCTTGGCGAGCCCGGCCCACTGCACCTCAGGAGCCCCATAGCCCTGCGCCCTGGAAATGCTGGGGGAGGCCGGGCTGTGCACCAAATGGGGCTGCGGCTGGGGCCCTGCTTGGCCTTATTCCAAAAAAAGTAGTAATAATAAGTTGGAAGAACTGGAAATAAATGGCATTACATGAGGCCTTTTCCCTGGAGTGTCTGTGTTACCTCGGTTACCTGCACCCCTTTCCTGGTGTTTTCCCCTGGATTTGGTGGGACGGCTGGCTCGGCAGCGCCGTGCAGCTCCACTTCAGCAAGCCCCTGCCGGAGCGCGCCGGGCTCGGCGAATGCTGCAGCCGTCAGGAGCCGTGTCCTGGCCGCGGCGAACAAGCGGGCAGTGTGCGCTGCGGCCGGCAGCGCCTGGCGCGCGCAAACAAGCGCCGCCACAAAGCGCGCAGTGTGCGCCCGTACAATGCGGGCCAGCCTTGCCCCTGGCCACGGAGCCAGCGCATAATCGCCTTTATGCACAGCAAGGCAGTCAAAGTAATGCACAGCACAGCTGGAAACGCAAAGCCACGAATGGAAAGAGCCCTCTGGGCCGGGGGTGCCAGCACCGCTCCAGTTCCACCTGTGTCCTATTTCCACTCCCGCTCATGGGGTGCTCACAGCTTCACCAAGCTCTTTCTGGGTGACATTTGCAAACTTGGTCCCAGCTCAGGACAAATCTTTCTGGAAGACATTTTAAAAAAATACTTTATCAAGACCATTGCAGTTGCACAATTTTCTTTTTTTTAATGAAGATCAGTTGTATTCAGATGACACGAAAACAAATCTTGCTCAAGGCGCTTCTAGAAGAAAAGAAACAAAGCCAGACAACCGCGCAGGTGGCCAGATGCTGATTGGTTGTGCGCTTTGCAACACTTGTGTTAAGAAAGTATAAAAAGAAGTCGGTTTGGAAATAAAGTTGTCTCACTCTGCACCCCAGACTGAGTCCGTTTCTTCACAAGGTGCAACATCGCTGCACGCCTGCTCTGCTGCCGCCAGCCGCACTTGGCTGCTGGGGAAGACACAAGCCCGTCCCTGTTAGTCTGGCAGATTCTAGTGCAGTTTTAGCAGGCAGGCTCCCGCTTCGGAGGCTTCTGCGCGGTGGTAGCAGGGGTGTTATGAAGGCAAACATGGTGAGCAAGGGGTGCGCTGCTCGGGCTGCCCGCGCGCCTGCTGCACCGCAGCTGCAGCCACGGGCAGGATGCATGCATGCAGCCGAGCACACGCCACACAGCCCAGCCGCAAGTGCTGGCAGGAACCAAAGCATAAACGGAATCAGTGGCATTAAACGTAGCAAACTCGTTATTTATTTCCTGCTCCAGGTGTGGGCGTGCCTGGCGCTGGGGTGAAAGACGGCTGTTAAATTTGCACGGTGTGTTATGAGATCAGGCTTGGAAGGTGCAGTGGTGGCTGCGCGTCTTGGGAAAAGATGTCGGGGGAGGACCAAAACCAACGTGAATTTCGGCTTGTTAAGGAAACTCTGAGCTCAGTCTATAGGTGCATCATAGATTCAAACTCATCGATTCGCTGCTTGGTGTTTCCTTTCCTGATCTTCCGGTAGGAGATTGTGTTGTATCGGGAATAGCTGTGTCTGGAGATGTCGTTTTTTTTCCCTGCACCCGGTGGCTCCCCAGGCTTCTCAGGCTGGGAGTTGCAGGTGGGACTAGCAGGGGGAGAAGCCTCCTTGCCGTTGTCCTGCTTCTCCACGCGAGACTCCTCACTGTTCTCCTTCTTGATCTCTATCAACTGGACTTCATCTTCTTCAGTGTCCTCCTCATCCTCCTCCTGCTCCTCCTCCTCGTCCGGCCACGCTTCGTCCCCCGGGTGCTCCTCGGCCTCGGGCGTGGGGGCTCCTGCTGCCGGGCTCCGCCGCGAGGCCGCCCCGGCCGGCTCCGTGCCCCTGGGCTCCAGCTGCTCCGTGCCCTGCGCGGGAGCTCCCGCTCGGCCCGGCCCTGTGCAACACAAGCAGCAGCACCTGGGTCAGCAGCGTCGCTGGCAGCCACGGTAGGACAGCTCCTGTGGGACCCCGGGCCCTCCCGCGGCAGGAGGGCTGTGCGGGGCGCCCGCGGGCGCTGGGGGCCACGCGCTCTCCGCAGAGCCCGGGGATGCTCCGCTCACCCGCTCGCCATGTCCCGAGGTGGCAGGTTGCACCCAGATGGTACCGTGTGTCTGTCCTACTTGGCACCATGCTGCTCTAAGTGACACAACAAATGGGCTATTGAACACTGCCTGTGAGGCCCTAAGCACTAATTAGACCCAATTGGCTGGGTACTAACGAGCCGCCTGCAGTTGGGAGATAAAGCACCGGTGGGTGCAGGGGGACAGGATCTCAATGGGGCTCATTGTGCCCACGAGGCCGCGACGGCGGCGATGTCGGCCCCACCGCCGACCACCCTGCCAAGGCCTGCGAGCTGCCATGAAATCCTGCTGTGCCCAGCACAAGTGTTCCTGGGATCTTTGCTTTCTAGTCCAAGCACCACCAGTCTCCATGTGGTGATATATAGCCTGGACCCTATGTCTGCTATAGCTATGCCCGAGTGACCTCATCTTGCACAGCGCCGTGCACAGTACCGCAGCGATACCAGCAACCGTCCCCCTTGTCCGTGGAAAAGGGTCACTGCGCACCGTAACGTAAGGCTCCCTCCCCTGCCTGGAAAAACGAATAGGCATCTCTACAGCCTTGACTTTGAAAGGCGAAAACCGCATCGCGCCACGCAGCGTCTGGCATTACCATCCTCGGATTGCTGCCCGTTGGCTGCCACATCCCGGGGAGGGATCTCGCCTGCTCCGTCGGGTTGAGTTGCGTCGTTTTCTTCTTGGTTTCCTTCAGGAAACATAAAGCGCAAGGGTAGGACTGGCAGCACAGTTAATGACAAGGACTGGCTTTGAGCCCTTTCATACAGGCAGCTGATTTTCAAACTAGATGGAAAAAAACCCATCTCTTTAGTCACCTGCTTTTCTTTTCATTCCTGTAACTGCCAGGACAAATTTGACTCTAACGGAAGGATCTGGGGACATTGCTGTGACTATTTGCAATAGCACATAGAATGCGCTGTTTTTTGCAGGGTTATACCTTAAATACCAGTTTTTCTGCCCGATACAGAAGTAGGGACGCGCATTGCGCCTTACCTTCGCACTGCCTCTCCCCACCCGAATTGCCGCATGTCGTCTCCTCTGCTGCGGGACGCGTGCTTCCCTCCTGTGCCGCTTTGCTGGGCGCAGGGCCGGCAGCGCTCTCCGTGCTGGCGCGCGCAGCCGTCCCAGCGGGTATTGCCATTTGGTCGATGATGCTGATGACGGGGCTGGTGGTCCCGTTGCACTCGAGCGCGCAGGCTGTGACGGGGACGTCGTCGGCCATTAGCACGGCGGCCGCGGGGCTCGCGCCTCCTCGGGGACGGGGACGGGGATGGGGACAAGGAAGGCACCGCTTGCTCTTCCCCGGGATTCTCCTCCTGGCGAGCGGGCAGGAGGGCTCCTCTCCGCCTGGACGCAAGGTGCTGACGGCTCCGCTCAGCGCCGCCCCGGCTCGTCCCCTTGCGCAATTAGCGGCCTCATTGGGATTTGCATAAACAAATGGGCTGCACGAGGGCGCTTTTGTGCCGCCCCAGCGGGTCCCCCACACAAGGGCTCTTTGTGCCGTGCCCTGCTGTGGGGACAACACCAGTCCCAAGGCTTTAATCCGCGGAGGGTGACTGCTGCTGCAACGTGACTTCCTCATAACCAGCTTAACATTCCCCATGAGGCTTATGCGCAGATCACCCCGGAACACTGCCGCTCGGACAAGGGATCCGTGTGGAACGTCCTCGGCGGCGCTTGCCGTGGCCCTGCAGCGAAGCGCCCGCTTGCAGGGACTCAGCCCTAGGGAGGGGCCAGGAGCATCAAAACCTGGCGCTGGCAAAAGCGGCACGCGGTGACAGCCCGTCCCTACGCCCGCATGGGTGCATGAAGGGCGCCCGCACGAGCTGCACACGCAGCACCACATGCACTCGGGTGAACTTGTGCCACCCAGCAGACCCAAAACCTTCTGACCGGTTCTGATCATCTTAAAATCAACAACTTTAAACCATTAGGAAAAATAGTTTGGGGGAATGGTTGTAAAAGCTTGTCCAAGAGAAGCATGTGGCAGCACATTGAAAGCGGCTCTGGTGCCTCCGGAGAGCAGCTGGGTCTCTGCTGCAGGCTGGGAATGGCCATTGGCTGCTCCCATCACACCTTCTCCTTATTCCTGAGTTGTTCTAGGGCTCCTCGAGCACAT